ATTAATTCAGAAAAACAGAGCAAAATGTTTTTTTCTCATGAAAAATTAACTCGTTAATTCAGAAAAACAGAGTCGATTTTATTTCTTCAAGTGAATGCAATACGCCTCCGTACATATTGGTATCTAGAGACATGTTAGAATCTAAAGATACCGCCCTAGTGACAGCTTTTTCAGCTTTTTCTGAGAGTGTATCTGCGGTCTCAGCTGGTCAGGATTGATAAAAGGACTAGATGTTGCAATCCCTAATCCCGGATGTTCTTGAAGGATGGCTGCTATAAGGCTTTACCAGCGGGACATCATTACACATTTTTGGCAAGGTCCTACATGAATTCCTAACCTGTTACATGCTGTTTGAATTCATGCCTTAGTCTGTTCTTATCAGTTAGACTATGAAACACGCTCTACAATTATAAAGTCAGTTGTTTCAATGCCATGTGGTAGCATCATGTCTGAGACCTGTCATGAATGTGCACCTATAATTAAAAGTGACTTATAGGGATAGTTCACTCAGTCATTATGTTAGTCCAAATCGGTATGACTTGCGTTTTCTGACACAAAAGAATTGAAATGGGTTCAAAATCAAATCTTTCAAAAATGCATCAAAGAATGGGGATAAAAGTGGGTGTGAATTCCTTATCTATGTGCTCTTTGGATGTAAGGTGTGGTTCAGCTCAAAAAATAAAGATATTCCAAGGCACTTGAATAATGTTGAAAGGGTTAAAAGTGTTTATTTAATCATGGCTTTATCATTTAAAAACTGGTGACAAGTACACACCTACACGTTGCGCCTTATAAGCCTTTGTCAGGGTGTCAAAATATAACTTTCACAATGACATGAGCGTGATGACCAAATCGTGAGAGTTAGGTAAACTAAGCCTTTAATTATTATCTGGATGACTGGGGATCTAGATGCTGCTCAGGCTGGGACAAAATGTACTATTTGTTGTCTTGTCTGTAGATAGTGATTGACCTTTATTTATTATTCCTTGGTTTTTGTAACCATTCACCATGAAGCTTTATTACTGTTACATATCTACACTTTTCAAATGAATCCTGCCTAATATAAATCTAGGGCTACAACGAAAGATTATTTTGGTAATCTGTTGGTTATTTTGTTGATTATTTGGATGACAAAGTTAATATAGCCTATATTTAAAATATGTTAAGTTAATTATTAAACAATGGTAATAAATTATTTAAAACATTAATACATATTTATTATAATAAATGAAAGTTATAGAAAAATTTATACTTTTTTTAATAATAAATTTACAAAAATGTTATTCCACATCCTGCCAAATGTCATCCGAGCCCAAACAGTGTGCAATTTGAAGGCTATACAAACAAATGTGAATGTGTTCATGTTGGCTCTTACAAGACACTTTGAGAAAAGCGTCAGCTAAAATGAATAATTGTTAATGTATATCTAAATGTAAATCTACTCTATCAGTAATAATAGAGAAAAAAAAGCTCATGGCAGTGAACGGGTTACACGGTAAAAGATTGAGAGTGTAAAGACACATGTAATGTTTAATGAGGTTGACTAAGCTCTTATTTCCTTTTCAATTTGTTACATTTTTTATTGAATTTTGATGATATATGTAACAAAATGTCTTTCTCTGTGTTCAAGTTTGACTGTAGTAAAAGTTAAAGAAAATCTGACACTTCAAATCAACATTTCAAACAGAAAAAAATCTAAACCTTGACAAAAATTTTTTATTTGAGAATCTATCTATCTATCTATCTATCTATCTATCTATCTATCTATCTATCTATCTATCTATCTATCTATCTATCTATCTATCTATCTATCTATCTATCTATCTATCTATCTATCTATCTATCTATATATATATATATATACACACACACACACACACACACAACCTAATAAAAGTAAGAAACCTAGTGGTTACACAATGGCATTACATATTTATTTATTAACCACCGGATGACATCTGCCTTCAAAAATAGGATTTAAAAGGCATTGTCTCTATTTTAACCTGAAATACAGCTTTAATTTAATTTTTGTAAATATTTTTTCAATGGGAAAACATGAGCGAAGAAGCTGAAGATGCATGTAAAATTATCTCAAAATGCAAAAAAATAAAAAAAAATAAAAAAAATAATGAACTAAAATATATTACATTGATTTTGCAACATAAGCGTGACTCCCAACAATTGCAAAAGAGTTAAAACAGAGTTAAAAAAGAAAAAAAAAGAAATAATAATGAACAAAAACAGAAGGAGCACACATTCAATAATCTGGTGGATGTTAATGCGCAGTGCACTGTTACTCAAATTATCTTCATTATAATATATATAATATTATCTTCACTAATCATTTTCATTATTGATTATTAGTGATCAGATTTTGCAGCCCTATATAAATAGTTAATTAAAGCCTTTATATTTATAAGACTGAGGCTGAGATTTACAAGATGCAAATAAAGGATTTCATATCATGCAAATCAGGTGTGTTGAGAAAGAGAGAGTATGAGCAGATGGTGTCTGTCACCGCACCCTGATTCATCAGAGAAAAGCACTGCTGTTTTAAAATTTTAGTCATGGTGTCCGCCCCAGGCTCAGGGCTAGGTCTTCTTATCGGCGCAGAACGAGAGTTATTATTAACCGCATCAACCACATTCCAGGCTGTTATGGCAAACGACCCTGAAGCAGTGAAATGAGAGGTGGAGATCAGGGTTAAAGATCAGATGAGGAGCAAAAAGAGAGTGTGTGAGAGAATACAGATAGAATGGGTGTAAACTTGTGTTTTTCCACGTTATTTAAAGGGATAGTTCACTTTGAAATTAATTTTGGTATGTTTTATCTTACCTCAAGGGCATCCAAGATGTAGGTGTCTTTGTTTCCACAGTATTTTCAATTTTGATATTTTTAGGTCAAACCGTTCTTGTCTCTCAGTCATATAATGGAGGTCTATGGTCACCACCTCAAAGAACATGCACAGAGACTGTTCATTTTCTCACAAAAAAAAAAAATGCTCGTTTCGTGTCTTAGGCCATCATTTATGAGTCATTAAATCATGTTTAATTTGGACTTGTCTGTGCATGCTCTTTGAGGTGGTGACCATAGTCTGCACAAATGCACAGGCAAATTAATAATAACGTTTTTTTGTTGTTATTATTATTATATTATTATTAATTTTTTTTTTCACCTACAGAGGGTGAAAGTCTAACAAAATTTCTGTGTCTATGCATGCACAGCCCACGTATATGTTTTCACACATGTTGTGTATATAGAGTCTAGACACATCAGCATGTGAAAGTCTCGGTGTCGCTTGCTCTTGATTCAGTAACGGTTAATTATAGTGTAAAGAAAAGGTTGCAGCGGCAAATGTTGCAGGGCGTTTCTCCGAAGGCATTTTTCGACTGTTGAAATGCGTTGGAAAGTCTCGCAAGTCCTGATCTATATATATGCCAAAGCTTTAGTAGGTTGGGCAATCTTCACTATTGCAGAATAATCATGACTCAATAATTGTATTTATATATAAAATGTGTATGCTTTATGGACACACATATACACTACTGTTTAAAAGATTGGGTCGATAAGATTTTTGTTTTTGCACACAAAGGCTGCATTTATTTGATCAAAACTATGAAAACAGCAATATTGTTGTTGTAATTTACTATTTTCAGCATCATTCTTCAACGTCACTTCAGAAATCATTCTAAAATGATGATTTGCTGCTCAAGGAACATTTCTTATGTTGAAATCAGTTTTTTTTTCTCACTTTATATTGATTTTCTCCACATAAAAAAATATATCACACATGTGCAACGCAAGTCTGTCATTAAGACTACATACAATTATAATGAGAACATTTGCTTTTAATGGTGAGGCTTTTGTTTTTGTAATCAGGCTCTCAAAAATAATGTGAAAATTCTGATTTAGATTCATCTAAATCTGAATACAGATAACATTGAAATTTTACATTTATTTATAGTCCTTAGTAAGTATAATAATTCCATCTCAGGACAGAGACCGAGGAGATATACAATTATGGATCTGTCATGTGATGCAAATTATGTTCAAACAGCATTACGCATGAATTCAAAATAAAGGAAAGGAGAAACTAAAATAATAGCAGAATTACATACAATATACACAAGAACAGCAACCATAAACCAACAAAAAAAACAAACAAATAACCGATTATTCTTTATATTTGAAAGATGATAACTGATATATTGGCCGATAAATCAAAATCTTAATTTTTTAACATTATTTTTGAGAGCCGGATTACAAAAACAAATTTTCATTAAAAGCAAATGTTCTCATTATAATTGTATGTAGTCTTGTATTTTCCTTTTTTTGAAGTGATTCCAATCATATTTCAAGCAATTCAAAACCATCACGGTGAATTTGGTAAATGCAAAGGTAAAGAAGTGTTTACTGTCAGCACAAAATCAAATAAAAAGTGCTTTAAATAAATAGATAAAAGAATGGAGAACAACTGATTTCGAATATTTTTTTTTTTGAGTTTTGAGTCAGAAAGCATGCTCTTTCTACACTGTAAAAAAATATTTGTAATCACAACAAATCCTTAAAATTTTAAGTTGATTGAACTGGAAAAGTGAGTTAATGCAATGAAGGAGATTGATTTAATCATCAGAAACTCAAAATAATAAGTTATCTGAACTAAATAAATTATTTAAGTTGATTTGACAAAAGAAAAAATGTTGTGATAACAAATCTTGAATTTTTTTTTTTTACAGTGCACTGTAAACAAAATATTGTTGGTTTAACTTGAAGTAAGCTGGTTGCCTTAATTTTAAGTTTATTGAAATAGAAAAATTGAGTTAATACAACAAAGGAGATTTATTTAATCATCAGAAACTCCAAATATTATGTTATACGAACTACATAATTTAAGTTGATTTGACAAAAGAAAAAATGTTGTGATTACAAATCATGAAAATGTTTTTTTACAGTGCATGTTGGGGATTATGATGGACAATGATCTTGTTTTTTGCACTCAGGCGGCGTGTTGAATGAATTGGAGGTCACGTCTACAGAAACACAAACACCATGAACTCCCAGGGCAGCTATGGCAGCAGCTTGATGTGTGAGTATTGCAGTACACCAGCAGTTGTGTTTCATTCATGTCTAAGCATGCTAAGATTTTTCAGTCTTTTGTGAGTGTCTACAAAATGGCAAATAAGGTGCTGCTGTACATAGTTCTGGAGTGGCGTGTTACATCATGTTTCCTGTCCTTTGTCTGACCACTTACCCTCATTATTGTATATTTACTCAATGTTTGTGTGTGTATGTTGCAGTTCAGTCCATCAACGATGAACTGAACGCATCTTTGGCCACAGCGGACGAGCTGTCACGGGAGTTCAGCTCTCTCTTGTCAGAAGCCACTCCTGTTGCGCAAACCACTTCTGCAAAGGTATAGCACTGTTGCCAAGCCATTTTTCTTTCTTATTTTGGTAGTTGACATTTCTTCTTATAAGTTTATTGAATAGGATAAACCCCTTGAGATGAACCATCTTGTTTTCGAGGGGTCCTAATATACAACAAAGGACAAATCATACACATTTCAAGGAGTGACTCCTAATCAATAATCATGCAGTTTATAGCTTCATGTTAATCAGTAGACAATATGGACTACATATTTTTGCTTGTAGAAAGATATATTTTATTTCACACAGCATAACTATTTAAATGACCTGCAAAACAACTAAATATAATACAAACAATAGCCACCAATTACAACAAGGGTTGGGAAAAGTAACATAGTTATATACGTATTATATGCTCTCCAAGACTGCGTTTATTTGCTAAAATACAATAAAAAAAACAGCAATATTGTGATATTCTTACAAATTAAATTTGTTTTCTATTGTAAAATGTAATTTATTCCTGTGAATTTTCAGCATCATCACTCCGGACTTCAGTTTCATACGATTTTTCAGAAATGTAATTCTAATATGCTGATTTTGATGCTCAAGAAAATTTAGTTTTTTGTGTGTTTTTTAAACGGCAACCTAATCATAATTATCATAAATTATTATCTTTATATAATATAATTCAATCCGTCATAGCTGAAAATAGAATTGTCAATAGTTTCTCTCTACAAACAAAGAGACTTTTTGGATTTATAAACTTAATATAGCATTGTGTGTATCCATTAAAGGAGTAGTTCACTTTAAAAAAAAACAAAAAACTTTTGCTGATAATTTACTCACCCCCATGTCATACAAGATGTCCACGTCTTTCTTTCTTCAGTCGAAAAGAAATTAAGGTTTTTGATGAAAACATTCCAGGATTTTTCTCCATATAATGGACTTCATTGGGAACCAAACAGTTCAAGGTCCAAATGAGAGTTTCAGTGCAGCTTCAAAGGACTTTAAACGATTCCAGACGATGAATAAGGGTCTTATCTAGCGAAACGATCGCTCATTTAATAAATAAATAAGTAATTTGGTTCATTCAACGAACGAAATGAACACAATGACTCGAAAAAAGATTCGTTAATTTTTGATGAACGAGTTCGAACAGGAAAGTCACAAACAATTTTTTTTAAATTTATTTTTGAAATGACCAATCGTTTCGCTAGATACGACCCTTATTCATCGTCTGAAATTGTTTAAAGCCCTTTGAACAGTTTGCACTGAAACTCTCATTTGGACCTTGAACCGTTTGGTTCCCATTGAAGTCCATTATAAGGAGAAAAATCCTGGAATGTTTTCATCAAAAACCTTCATTTCTTTTCGACTGAAGAAAGAAAGACGTGGACATCTTGGATGACATGGGGGTGAGTAAATTATCAGCAAAAGTTTTTTTTGTTTTTTTTAAAGTGAACTACTCCTTTAAATAATAAAGGCTTTTTAATTGAAAAAAGACTGCCATGGTCATCCCAGAACATTGTATATGTGGCTAAATATTGAGTGTATTTGAATACATCAGCATGATGTTTTCCTTGATCTTTTTACTGTAGAGTTCCAGTCCCAAAACCCAGGACACCAGCAATGGCAACAGTGGTTTGTACAGCGCAAACAAGAATGGATCTGAGAACATCAGAACAAACTTCCCCGTTTCCCAGAGCTCAGACTCCACCATCAACAGGAAAGAAACCAACCTGGACTTGGTCCAATCAGTCCCCACAAAGCGATCTCAATCACCTGTCCTAGACAGCATGAAGTTTAGGCCTTCATCTCCCAGTCCTTTAACCCAGCAGCACTCCCCTTTCATTATACGTAAAGACAACTCAGATTCACGATATGCGTTTGACCAAAAGATACCCCCTAATATGTCTCCGAATACACTGAGACGAATGCCGCAGAGGCCTCAAGAACGAAGCACGAGAGGATCGCTGAGCTATGTGGAACTGTCGCCCTTATCCAGCCCAACATACGACAGTATAACATCTCGCAGCTTGCTTCAACCCTCATCGAGTCCCAAGTCTTCCATGAACAGGTCACAGAGGCTGGATCGAGGTCCTTCGCCTCAGCCTTTTAGTCAACCATCAGCCAGTACGCTCCCACGCAACTTCCAGTCATTCAGACCAGGTATGCGGGATTTTAAGAGTATTAAATGCACGTCACGCTGGCTCTGAACGAAAACGCGCTGTGGAAACACGTTGGCCTAGTACTTTTGAGAGTGTTTAAACATAAACGCTCTCAAAAGTACCCAACCATGCATTAAAGGGATAATGTGTAGGAATTTGTCCCATCTAGTGGTGAAAATGTATTTTGCATTCAAACACATTGTGCTCTCCAGTGCCTTGTGCATATCATCTATGGTAGCCATTATGTACCAAAAAGCCTAAAGGTATTTGTACACCATTGAGGACATATTTATGAATAAAAATATTGATTTTAAATAATAAAATATGTAAAGTACACATTGTCCCTTTAAATAACATAGGAAATGAATACGGGTCATTTTAGACCCACGTTGTGCATTAGAAGAGGTTTGCATTGTGTGTGCATCAAAGGGTTAAAAAAAAGGTTCTTTATTGCTATTTGCAGTTCCATGAAGAATCTTTAATATCTGTAGAACCTTTAAATTGGACAAAAAGGTGCTTTACAGGTTCTTTAGGCAAACCCATAATGATTCTTGTACACTACAGTGGACACCAAAGGTCTTTGGTTGGTGGTAAACTTTTACCACCAACCAAAGTCTGCTTTTTTTTTTTGGTTTTTCGTTTGTTCACTCATCGGTTGTTTCTTCTATCTCCTTTCAGAAGAGGGCGTGCAGAGGCAGAAGAACCCCTGGAACGAGACAGACCTGGATGCATACGAGAGAAAGCCTCACCACTCCTATGATAGTTAGTTCTGTTGCACAAATTACTCAGAATATAATAGCAATTTAAACACACAATAACTCCCGTTTCTTTTATGAAATTGCATTGCTCAATAGGAATCCTGAAGGCAACATTGTGCAACAATTAACCGAAATTAATAATCAAAGACTGTTTTGGTTCATTCAGATATTTCAGAATATGAAATTATATGAAACTATTTTATTAAACTACTGTATATCAGACTTTACATTGACTACTACATGAGACAGTTCTTAATATTTTTTTTAATTGATTGAAAAAGTAAATAATTTAAAATGTGAAGAAAATCTAAGTAAATATAACATAATCTATATCAATTCCAGTCACATAATATTGCGTCTGTGTAACAAACACATTTGAAGAGGTCATGAACTGGCTTTTTACATTTTTTTTTGTATTGTTGTCTGAGGTGAACTTATGACGTTCACTTGGTTTTTTCCATTCAAAAACATCAAAATGAATAAGTAATAAGCTATTTTACACCTTAGTTTTGAGCCTAGCTGAAAAAACGCAGTTTTTATGGGCGTCTCGCATTGAAGACTTGGAAGTAAACGCCCACTGCTGTAAGTGTATAACAGTTTTGCATATAATAATGAGTTTCACACTCGATCCGGTTTGTCATCACAAGGTAGGCATCTATGTTATTTAGCTATGCGTGTAATGCGCGAATCGGTGGGCGGGGCTAAACCGGCCGTGTTGAAGTAGGCGTTGATCATCTTCTGCGGGGGAGGTGTTTTAGCCCCTTGGACGTCATAGTTCCCCACTTTGAAAAAAACGAGTCGTTTGCTGAGCCTGGTGTCAATAAAAGCTTTTATTGGACTAACAAGGACGTTTTCAGATCTGAAACTTGCAGGATATTCTTTTAATATGATAATATTCATCACCCCTTTAACCATTCATAATATACAATGTATGACTTTAAGTGCTCTAAAAGTTTACAATATTAATAATAATATACAATTAAATATAGTCCTTTACACAATCTTTAAAGTTTTAAAATCCAAGATCCTTTTTATGGGTTTATTCAAAGTCAAACCTTCATTATTAAGCATTTTATCGCTATATCACGTGCTTGTGATGAAAATGGTTTGCTACCAAGAGGCAAGATCATGTAGAAGACTGGGTTAACTGTACAGTAAGCACATATCATCATCGGAAGTCAGGTCGCTCTCTTAACGTGATGATACACATTAAGGCAACTTTTTGAGCAATGTTGCTGGGCAATCTTGCCGAGTGATTGTTGCCCATTGAAAATGACCAATACATTTCTATCTGAATAGTTTAGATCGGTCGCCCGTTGACTGCAACATTGCCCAAAAAGTTGCCCTGTGTATCATCACCTTTAATGTTAAATCGTCATTAATTACGTGTTTTCCTCTGTGTTGTAGAGAATGAGTGGATCAGACCAGCTGTACCCAACAGCAACTGGAAAGAATCGAACCTGGATGCACCTTCCTCCGTCAAGGTCTGTGTGTGTGAAACTGGTTGTCTTACTGTATGTAATTATGTTATTATGCATATATGTAATTATTTCCAGGTATAAGAAACAAGTTTAGTAAATTTCTAAGCAACAGGCAACAGCCGTCAGTTCAGTTTTATTATCCCCTAAGGGAAACTTGCAGCCAGGTGAACATACAGGTCACACAACAGGTAAACACCACACACGCATACCAATAAGTAACACAAACTACTAATAATAAAAAACTATTACACTATAGAATTATACAAATTTAGCAACCGAATTGCACTTGGTATAAAAAGACACTTAATGGCAGTTGTCATAAACATGCATAAACCTTACTTCATATTCAAGACATAGGTCATGTCATGGTTATGAAGGGGTCTTATGAACACCCCTTCAAGTAAAGTGTTACCCAATAATAACTAGTCCATTTTCATCAAGCAACAAATCAAAGCAGAAAACTTAAAACACATTCTAAACAAACAAAACTTGCTTGTCGCCACAGTCAGAGTAGCGCCACGCCAATTTGACATTTCCCAAATTTATAGTGTGCTCTATTGGCATAAGTATTTGCATTTTCCCACAGATACAAATATACAAACTAAAGATAAAACTGAAGAAAAAAAAACGATGCTTTCTATGCTCTCTAATTCACACAGTTTCTTCTCTGTCTTCAGGAGACCGCTCCCCGCTCTCTCCCACCATCTTACAGCTCGCTCCCGAGAAACACGCGCATCTCAGTGCCCCCCGACCTCCCCTCAAACCCCAGCTCAGCGTACAGCTCTCAGCAAATCATTTCCCGGATCCCCGTTCCCCCTCCAAACTCTGAAGTCCGTCAGCACAGACCCATCCCGCTTTCCCTCATCATGAGGATCCAAAACCCTGGATTCAACAGATACACCCCTGGCCCAATGGGACATCCTCCCATGCCCCGAGAATACCCGCGGCACAACCAGACGCCTCAACCTCAGCAAGCGCAAAGACAGCCTCCCTACTATAGAGAAGGTACCAGCTACCAGATGACATGAGTGGGACAACACGTGACACACACGATTCATTTATTCAAGAACACACTGACTTGAAAAAAACCTTTCATGAGCACGTTTTTCACGTCTGAATTGAAAAACTGGCATGTCAATTAAAAGCTAAAACAATGTTTAGAATTAATTCCTGAAATAAAATCTTATATGTAGTTTATCAGAGTCTTTTATTATTTATTTTAAAGCTGATTATTATTATTATTATTATATTATATTTAATATTTTTAATATTATTAATAATGTTATTAATATTTAATATAATTTAATATTATTATTATTATATTTTTTATATTATTGTTTTATTATATATAAAATATACACACTTAATATATTTTAATTTGTATTATATGACAGATTAACTGGTAAATCAAAATAGCACAGAAAAAAAAACATAAAACAGGAAATAAAGTAGACAATCATATATTATACGTTACAATAGCAGATCAGCTGACCGACCATTGCATGACCGTGGCAAGATTAGTTTTAAAATTTAATGTCGTGCAACTTTCCAAAAAAGTTGATATTTGTAAATTGATTTGTGAATAGAAAACACTTTTTCCTTGAAAAAAATCTATTTACATTTTTCTACTGATTGAATTGAAATTGAAAGCATTTATTGTCATTGTATTTGCATACAACGAAATTAGGAATTCTGACTAAATTGAATAACATCACATGACTACAAATGTCATGTTAAGGGCAGTAACACAATTTCTTGAATACACACATAATAAGCGCTGTTATGTGTGTATTCAAGAAATTGTGTTATTACTTTTAACTTGATGGTTACATAACATGACATTTGTAGTAATGTGATGTCATTAAATTAAGAATTTCTTTTAAAACCATAAATACAAATATTGCATTTCAATTTGGCACATGCAGCTACATTTTTAAATTATTATTATTATTATTCAGGGTTCCAACACAGTTTAGAAAAGTATGACATTTTATTTGTTTTCTTTTTCCATTCTTATCTAGACCGTGATCCAGACCTGGAAACTACTCAGAGTATGGACAAATATTTGTGTTCCTAGACTATTGCCTCTATTCAGTTTTCTAAAATATAAAACTATGACTTAAGAATGTATCATACAATGTGTTTTCTGGTGAGAAAATACGATTATTTACAGATGCCTGTGCTGTATACCAAATATAATGGGGAAAATAATACTGTATAGGGTTATTTATGTTAAATATGGCCTGAAAAAAATCCAAAAAAGAGGTTTGGAAATTTCATTCTGGAAAAGTGTGGAATTTTGAAATGTATTACGGACACGTTTATGTGCAATTTAACATGCTATTTTTTTGTTCGTTGGTTTCTTATGAACAGTACTTCACCCTGGAGATGTTGAAGCTGAGCTTGAGAAACGAGACACAGGTAAAAAAGAAGGCCCTGTGCTCATGAAACCAGACGGAGAGGCTAAAGTGGAGGATTTAGAGATGCCCCCTCGTCCTCTCAGTCCCACACGTCTTCAGCCAGTGGTGGCTCCCCAGTCGGAGCTGGACACGGATCTAGACGAAGTGATGCGCATCCGGGCCGAGTTCCCCAGGGCCCTGAAGAGACGTGGCTCAGCCGAAGTTCCTCAGCCCCAGTTTGACCTGCCCACTGCCCAGGCCAACCCTTACAAGCTGATGATCAATAAACTGTTTCGCAGGAAGACCATCCGCATCAAGGAAGAACCTCATGCTGAAAGCGCCAGCTCTTCAGATGGAGAAGAGAGTCCCAAATCTGCTGTGACGATAAATCCAATGCCAATCACAGAGATACAGGTCTCTCCTGAACAGAAGGTGAGCGGCAGACAGATTACATATTGCTCAGTAAGAGTGGACACCAATGACAGCTAAGAGGATATTTGATTTTAATCTGCTCTTACAGGGTATTCACACTATCTTACGGAAGGGCACCAAAGCCAATAAATCCTCCGACCGGAGAGCTCACTTGAGCCCGCTGGTTCTGATTTTGGATGGGTCCTTGGTAGGAGAGTTGGAAACTGTTCAGAAGGCTGCACAGGAGGTATGTGTCACTGCTTTGGGATTGTATGGCGCTGGCAACATGCATCAACACTGTATAGGGTTATTTTCATTCTGGGGTAACCCCACACAACAATAAATGCTAAAAAAAACAGGCCGTGCACAGCTGAATAGATCAGAACACAGGGTCTTGAGTGTGTTTGTCGTTATGACGATAACCGTAATATATAAAAAAAATGAAATATTGATATTGTGATAATATTACACGTGATAAAATCATAAATAATCCAGGACCAGTAAATGGTTGACACTCCAACTTGTTAGGTAACAATATTGCACATTAACTCTGGTTTCCATCTGCCATTAAAAAAATATATTTTTTTAGATTTTCCCCTTTTTTGTAATTTTTTTTTTTTTTTATGAAACTGTGAAATAATGCATGAAAACATAATAATGCATGAAAATGCATCTTTTGATATATTGCTTGTTTTGCAAAATATTCTGGGGGCCATGAAATTGTGAAAATTAAATAAAAATGACGGTTTTTTTTGTACGTCAGCGGGAAAGAGTTAATCTATTTAATCAATCACAAATTAAAAATGTAAGTTGGAAGTGAAACAATAAATGTAAAGGAATTACAATAAATGTGCACTAAAATCTGAACTAAAACTCAATAAAATGACAGTGACTTTACTTTTCAAAATAATATTAAATATGTTATAAATATATGTAGCGATTTAGTTTTCAAAATAATACTGAAAATCAAAATACAAGATAAAATCTAGTATTCAAGCGTCAAAATGCATCTCTTGCTAGTAAATAACGAGTGCATGTGTGTGTGTGTCCCTGTATAGATGAGTGACCCGAGCCAGTGTAATGATGAAGGCATCACAGCCCTTCACAATGCCATCTGCGGTGGACACTCACATGTGGTGGAGTTTCTGGTGCGGATAGGGGCGAACGTTAGCGCTCCGGACAGTCACGGATGGTGAGTGATCAATTTAACAAGTGTATATATAGATGTGCCTATGTCTTTGCATATGTATGTGCGCTACAGTATATATTCACTCTCATTTCATTGGCAGGACGCCCCTGCACTGTGCTGCATCCTGTAATGAGCGTGCAATGTGCGAGTTTCTGGTTCGTAACGGAGCGGCAGTGATGGCCGTAACAGACAGCGATGGGGCCACGGCGTCACAGAAGTGTGACCCGTACGCCCCGGGCTTCGAGGAGTGTGAGGGCTTCCTGAGAGGTGGGAAAAAACCCTGAACCCCTTAGCTGTCACCCCCCTTTTTGAGAATGAGGGTTAAAATGCACTATTCAAACTTAAATGGTTGTAATTTAAGATATATACCCAAGTTTGGTCTTGTTTTAAAGGAAACACTCAGCAGATTATTGCTGAAGTGAAAACACTTCAAAAAATGAAAGTATGAAAAAGTTATGGAAGTTTAAATTTACAGTAAATCAATTTTACTAAATATTTTTTACTCTAAAATTTCTATAAAATCAAAGCCATAAATCTTATCAAGTTATGTTCCAAATTTGAAGTTGATATCACAAAAATTAGATTTTGTTTAGGCGTAGTACCAAAAATAGCCACCGGGTGCCATTGAATTCCATTGAATTTAGTTGTATACATTCTGCCTTAACAAATTAATACATTTCTATCCAAATATCAATTCTGTCACAAAATGTGGAACCTTGAGACTCCCTGAGACTTTCTGAAAATATCAGTTTTGTCAAGATTAGAAAAGGTTTTGATCATAAATTATGAAATATAATGACGCCCAAAAGGGGAGGAGCCTGATAAAATAAGTACCGTTTCTATGGTAACGCAACATTCAATTATAAAACAGTTTTCACATGATGAATTCTGAGTTTATAAGCTTTCAAATGATACCTAATTTATGATAACTACTAAAATATGTGATATAATAAAAAAGGCGATAAAAAATAATATATTTTAGAGGATAATAAATATAAATATTATCATTTTTAGAGGATAATATTATACTATATATTTTTTTTGATTGAAAAATACTAGATTATTTGTTTTATTATGAACTTTTAGCATAAAAACAGAAGTTTCAATGATTAAAAGTTGGTGCATCGACTTTTTGTGACAAAGGTGAAAACTCCTGATGCAGATTTTTTTAGGTGCACTCTTGTCATAAATTCATCAGTTACTCTTCCTATATAATTTTTAACACAAAACAGGGGTAGAATATCTATTTAGAAGTCTTAGACCTTTCCAACGATATATAATTTGTCATAATTAGATTAGGATTTAATAGAAATATAGTGAAGTAAAGTTAGGCGTCCCGGTACTGGGACGGTGACAGTTAATTAACAGGCATTGCGTGTAAACTAAATGGCGCAACGCATGTTTTTACATGTGTGTTAACTCCCAGCATTAAATTTAGCATGTCACAATGAGCTATTCGCTCATATGGGTTGGAAACTACGGTCAGTACAAGTCAGGCAATTCATAAACTGTAGGGTGGAGATGACATGCAATACACCCGTATTAACTCACCAACGCTAGTTTGAGGAGAGTCATCTTTTATGCAACAGTTTCATTTCAGTTTCACGTGTGTGTTTTTGTTCAGGTGTGGAGGAAGCGATGGGCGTAGAGAACAGTGGGGTGGTGTACGCTCTATGGGGATATCCTGCGCAGGCTCCGGACGAACTGAGCTTCAGAGAAGGGGACATGGTGACCATCCTGCAGAAGCCCGAGGGGGTGGACTGGTGGTGGGCTTCACTGTGTGGCAGAGAGGGCTTTGTACCAAACAACTACTTTGGGGTAAGATGAGCTCATTTAATACGAAAAATCCTCTTTGTCTAATACACGGTTCTGAACTGGGGGATTGAGGCCCTCTTAGCAAAGAGAGACACTTGATGACTTAAAATATTGAAATATATATATATATATATATATATATATATAAATTGTATAACTTATTTGAAATTTAACTTGCTTAAAATGTTGTTGTTTTTTTTTCTTTTCTTTTTTTAAATTAGAGTGAACCAGAAACCTTTATCTTCTGGAATCACAAAATTAAAATATGGTTAATTACTTTAATGTAATAATTTTTTTCTCATAGATCACTTACTGCACCTTTAAAGCTAGTAGACCACCTTGGACTAGTAACAAACCAGATACCACGTTCCAAAAGCCAGTTTAAACTAGTACAGTATGAAAATTTTTCCCCCAAAAAAGTAATTCTACAATGTTTAAAGAAGACATTAAAATATGTGCATCCACTGCAATGTTTAATGCTGTTTGTCTGGTCAAGTGAAAATAGCCTTGGATCTGAATCTGGTCAAGTGTAGCAACTTTTCTTTGTCTTTCATACATTCCAATCATTTTCACTCAGTTTTTAAATGTCATTTTGTCCTTTCTTGTTCTCTCACATGCAGCTTTTTCCAAAAGTGCGGCCTAAGACGCTCTGCTGAACCCATCGAACATAAAAGACAAAAGTGATCAGTGCATCTGAATGCATCACGCAACCAAGTCTGAACACAGGTTTCACATGTGGGTTTGAACATGTCTATGATTTTTTTGTCTTCTGTCTTGTATAATGGACAGCTCTGATGGGATTGTAGTAAAAGTCAGTTCAGTTTTCACTATAAGAACACCATGACAAAGTCACTTCACTGGGAATAGTGGATAGATAAGTTTATATAGACCTTACCAATGGTAAAAATGTCATTAAGAACAATTTATCTTGCTGTCTGTATCATTTGAGATGGGGACTTTGTTTCATTTTATAAGCAAACTGGACTGGATTAGATAATAAATATATAAAAGTCTCATCATCAGTTTGTTTGGAGAGGCTCATTCTCTGCCCTGACTAATGATTTTCAGCACTGAGCAGAAAGGAATTCATCAGTCTTTCAGTATTGCTTTTTTATGCATATTTTTCACGTTTTGTTAATCAGTAATGTTGCATAAGTGCAAAAAAGGGTTTTTTAGATATGCATTTGAATAACTAGTGTCCTAACTCAGCTTTAATTTCTTTTTACAGTATTGTACACCAAAATGTTAGCTTTTTATTTTGGACGTAACCTTTAACTTGCTATTTCTGTCTGTTTTCATAGTGACCTTTATGTAGTATGAAATATGAGTGAAAGTTTTCCTCTCATAACAATATGCTCTCCATGTGGGTTGTATATGAAATATTTGCTCTGATGTGAGGGAAGTTTGCTTTAGAGGTGTGTGTCCGTGAGCGAGTGTTTGTTTGATTAGCCTTGTTGAATCCACTGACTGTGACTGTTAAGAATACAATGACAAATTGTTACTCTCTGTAATACTCTTGCACAAAAGAAACATGAATAAATACTAATTGTACATTTGTGGTTTGTTTGAATCTTTACGAGACATACATAATTGCTAATAAAGCTGTTTGAACACAGGATTACAGGAGTGCATGCAAACCACCAGTAGAGGGCAAAGCCTAGTCATTTTCATAGACAGTAATAGATTTTTGACATCACAAAAATCAGATTTGCACCCATCACCCCTAGAGGTCTCCCAAGCGGCATTCTCATTTACTCGTGTGTGAAATGAATGGGGGGAGAAGTCTGCAAATGATATATGAGCTTAATTTTCTTCAAACTCTTGGTCAGGTATAAATCCAATGTATTTTGATTAATGAGTTTGAAAGATTCTATAGAGATGGGGAATATAAAATTTGAAGCATATTTGATTAATCAATTATTGCATTATTATATTTACTCTGGTTTAATTAAGGCAAAACAAGCTAGTAATTAATCTTGTTAATTAAGTTCCAGAGGATTCTTTTGATCAGCCTGCTATCTGATAGGCTCAAAAGATGCATGCTGACATTATGTGATGAAACAATTTCATATAGCCTATGCAAATATTTCTGGGCATAGCCTGTTAATAACACAAAGCCACCACATACACTGGAAGAACTGGAGTATCATCCAGTGCTTTTATTATCTATTTGCTAGTAATATCTTTATGCTTGTGTGTGTGTGTGTGGTAAGATTACATAAGCCTCAAGGGGCTTTATTCTCCTGAATATAGTGTTCGGAGAACCATGGACTAGTAAACATCACTGTGCACTATTTTAGTCACAGCTGGGTACTCGTCTATGGAGCGGAAGTTCTTGTGTAACAAATGCAGATGTCCTCTGCGCACGCTGCGATTGCTATTATGTGTTTTTTTTTTTTTTTTATCAAATATGATATCCATTATAATTGTTTACATTTTTTTTAATAATAAACAAATCACCACTCATACGTACCGGTACTACTTTCATGTTTCTCCTATCTCTCCGCGATCTCGCTCTCGTCATCATTGTTTAATTCGCGCCTTTTTGGGTTTGAACGATGTAACGTTAAGTTAGCTTGAACGAGGAATAGACAAGTACCGGTAAGTGAAAGTGAAATTAAAAAATTGAAATTAAATAAGTGAAAGAAAAAAATGCTGTTAAAAATGTCATCGGAGGTCTTCAGTAGGCCTATTAGTTATTTTAGACAGTAACGTTAGTCTATAAATTCTTTCTTTCACCGTTTAGACAAGCAAACGGAACTGCTCAGAAGAACACAAACCGGTAAGAGACACTACAAAATGATGTGTGAGAGAAACTTTAGAGAAAGATAACACAGCTGAATTGCAGGTTAGGCCTAATATATAAACAAGTAGGCTATTTTGTTTCTTAAAGTCAAAATGAAACGGAAGTTGCGAATATGAATGTGTTTTCTTCCCTGTTGTAACGTAACTCGAACAAGACTCAAACTGTAGGGCGATACTTGATTTTAAAATTGATTTTGATCTTGATTTTGCCATGATGTACTGTGAGTGACAGGTTGTTTCGCCATAACATCATTAAACATTTCATCAGAGAAAAGGACATGTCTCTGCAAGTGGGAGGGTACATTATTTTGATTCAAGATTACAAGGAATATAACTAAATATAACAAAAAATAAATAAATAACTTAATATTAGGCACAGGCAGCCTAAATCATTTATAATACAATACTGCCATATTGTCAATTTTGATTTCATGGTGACAAATTTATAATGCAATTCTTTGAAATACTTGATTCTGATTGGTCAAAGGCATCATGTGGATTTGCCTATTGGATTAGATTATCTTGTTTCATACAAGAGCGTGGAGCAAAAAGAAAAAATATGTATTTCTCTCCCCAAAGTATTGCATTTTCCCAGTCACCCGTGAAAAATATAGATTTTCATGTCATGCCCACCGTCAAGGGGTGCAATGATGATTTCAAGAGACACCCCCACCCCATGAATACAATGTCAACCTCAAGCCCCCCTGAGAATTATAAACGTGTGTCCTGGAGCCGGGACTGATTCATATACATGCACAGAACAAACCAATGTTCATCCCTCCCTGTGAGAGATGTGCTTGATGCAGGACTGGTGCTGTTGTGATGGGGCTTTCTTTCTATTGAATGGTGATTGTGTGATGGTAGAAGTCATTTGATGCCTCATTGGAACCCCATTAGGATGGAGGGAAGAGAGAATAGAGTGCTTTGGAAAACTGGAACAGAGAGAGCATGCCCCCTTCAGAAACAAACCAAACCTCATATCCACAGGCACACCTGAATGCTTTTCAGCTTTTTTTAGTCTCTCTCTCTCCCACTCTTCTGTTCTGACCTCATCCCTTTATTTCCCATACCTCGTTTTTTTTTTTTTTTGCCCTGTTGAGTTCCACTCCACTGCCAGCCATCATCTGCTTCATCCTCTCTTGATTCTCGCACTGTCTTTTTCCTTCTGTGTTTTTTCCTCTGTCTGTCTCTTCCCCTGTTTTTCCCTTCCCCTTTCTCAGACACACACTGTTAGTCTAGAGATGAGTTGGCCATTATTGGAGATGGCATTTTGGCCCATCAGCTCCTGACAGGCCCGCTTGACGTGACAAGACGGTGTACGTGCACCTCAAAACAAATACATGTGTAATCAGCCTCCAACAGATGGGCTTTTCCGATGTCTCTAAAGGAAAAAAAATAGAGAAAAATGAAAAAATAATTGGAGTGGAAAAATGGTATGGTAGAAATGAAAGGCTGTTCTGTTTCTTTATCTCTTCCTCCCTCTTCTTGTATAAATTGGGAAAAGGTAATCTGTCAGCTGAATATGAAGATAATCCATATTTTAGTGTGTAAAATGAATAGCAGAATGGTATTGGTTTACATTGCCAAATGCATCATAAAGTTTAATTATCGTACAATTATCGCACCTCAGATAAAACTGTATATTGACAGCATGATGGCCTGTCCATTCAAACTGAAAACAAAAAAATAGGGCTGTGAAACGATTAATCGCGATTAATCGCATCCAAAATAAAATGTGTGTGTATATGCAAAATTATTTTGTATATATAAATACACACACGTGCATGTATATATTTAAGAAATATTTGCATGTATACTTTATATAAAAAATGTATATTATACATAAATATGAATATTTGATACATGAATAACACAATTTTCTTAAATATATACATGCATATGTGTCTATATATACAAAATAATTATACACACCACACTCACATATATTATGTAAACACAAACTTTTATTTTGGATGCGATTAATCGTGATTAATCGTTTCACAGCCCTAAAAATCATATGAGAAATGTTATTTTGGAATTATTTCCCACAGAAACACTTCAAACTCTTGTAGAAAGTCTTCCCAGAAGAGTGGAAGCTGTTGCATCTGCAAACGGGGGATTAACTCCATTATAATGTATATTATTTATAATACAATGTCATTACAGTCCCTGTTGGAGCAAAGGTCAGGTGTCCCAATACTTTTCTCCATACAGTGTATTTTGAGTTTTTTAGTAATTTTAGTACTTCTACTTATTTCTGTTTGTCACCAGTTTAAGTTATACATCTAATGTTTATATTTTATTTCAGATTTATTTCAATTACCTACTGATTTTTAATAGTTTTAGCAAACCAAAACAACACTGGCCCTCACACAAGCTATCACACACACACATCACCCAGACGGCCCCTCCTTGCACCAGATCCATGTCCCTGAAGTCATAAATGTTGAATGTTCATCTTTAAAGTATTAAAGGCCATGTGCCGAGTAATTACCACAGAAGATTTTAGCTTTATAAGATGGACACTTGGGAGATCTTTCTGTAAACAAGCACATTTCATAATGCATTATGCACAGGGCAGACAATGCAGCGAGGGGCACACATATGGACGGGGGCTGGTGTGAGTAACAAAAACACACTGACTGACTGCAAATGACGCCATTACCACATTTTATTACGCTTTTCATTTTCCTTTTAGAGCATTTAATCAGTGCCTGTGCCTCAGTGAACAAATTCAGTGAACCTAATTAAAAAATGAAATCATCTTGTTTGTTTAACATGATGAACATGAAATGATTGCAGTCAGTAATTGTGTCAACACAAACATGATAAACCAAAATACACACAGCACAGTAACATAGCAGTTGAGGAGATTTCTATATTGAGATATAATATAAATTTGTATTAGAAGGAAAGTTTTTAATGTAATTGTGTGTAATGTAATTATCGAATTTTATTGACATTTGTCTTTTAACCCGTTAGCTAAATGTCTATAATTTACAATAGAATTTTTTTTAAACAAAATTTTTCTATATACTTGCAATTAAACAATAATTATTTAAGATATAGTTATTTGAAATAGATATCTAATATCTAAATATCATTCGATAATGACTTTTTTTGAAAAGAATATGTATTTTATTTGACTGATTTGCAGTCTTTAGATACTTACTAATTGTAGTATTTTGTATTTGCCATGTTATTAATATCAAGAAAAATACAATACTTCAAGAACCAGTCATTTTTCATATCTTCAATTCAACACTTCATTATTCGGATGTTTGGCAGGATAAAATTGCATTTAGATTATGAGATTCAAATTTCAACAAATAGCCTCTTTGTGTTTACTGTGTTCTCGCAGTGCACCCTATAAAGTAAGAATTAGGGTTGGGTATCGTTTGGGTTTTGTCCAATACCAGTACCTACTTGATATTTTTTAAATGGTTCCAGTGCCTAAACGGTTCTTGAAACGGTACTGGACACTGGACACAATATTAACTTAAATCTTTAAACAATATAAATACAAGGAACATTTGGTAATAATAATATAAACCAATATAAAATAAAAATTCACATAATACTGGAGATTAATAGAGATAACTAGGGTAATTTAATATCGACATGGCTACAGGTTCCCATGTTTTGTCTGCTTTAACCAGTCATGTATGTTATCTGATCATTGTACTAGTTACGCAGCGCTTAGCTTGGCGAGTTTGGTATTTCGTTCCCACTGCGTCTTAGCTACGCA